ATTATATTACATACATATATGTAATATTTAATGTGTTTAATGTAAAAAGAAAACAAAATATCATCACTGTAATAAATTATATTACTAAGATATATAGTGAACTTTACAGAGAAGACAATATTCCATGCAAAATATCCCCACAAAAGCACCACCGCATCACCAATATTTTTGGTGGTGTAAACAATTTATTCTGAAGCAATATTTTCATCAGTGTTTTATTTTACATACTGCATATTTTTATTTACCTTTACAAAGGCCTATTTTTACCAATGCATAAATAATGTTTTGATATATTAAACATAATACGTTGAATACTGATATTTGAAATTATTTAAATAATAAAAAGGTACTTTAAATGTGAAATTAAAACCACCAGTAGGTGGCAGCAAGTCACTGTTAATAAGTGAGTCATTGTGATTGAACCGAATCATTTAAACGGTTGATTCATTCAGGAACGAAACACGGTCATATTGCTCAGAGACGCAAAATAGCGCTGTGGCTTTGTTTGGAATTATTTTTGTTTTCGAAATGGTGCAAAAACGGGTAATATGGTGTCTAAAACGTAAGTCTCTTAATTAACTTCTAGTTTATTGAACTGTTGTAAAAAACAAACAAATCTATTACATTTGTAATCATGGTAATTTTTGGATTCATTTGGAATTCATTTCATTTTTGGAAATCATGAATTCACTCTTCATGTGAAATTTATTAACTATATGAAGTGGTATAAATATATAAATTTTCTGCCCCCATGTCTTGAATTTGTGATCTTTCTGAATGTATTTTAATAGACTGAATCATGCAGTGAAAGAGCGCACTAGACTTCACGTAATGTGTGCACTCTTTAGGGGTTTTGAATGCTTTTTTGCGTCGAGAGAATATTCAGCAAAATAGCTCACTTGCCATGGTATGTTACTTAACTTAACTTACTTAACTTGTCCGGTCGGGCAAGTAAAAAAAACATTTTAAACTAGCTAGAATTCTAAGTAGGCCTATACGAGAAACATATTTTTACTTCAATAATAAATTAAGAAAATGAAAGAAAAACTGTGCAACAAGTAGCCTAGTATGCAGAGTTTCGGTTAATTTTTGTGCTGCGCGAAAGGAAACAGACGACAGAAAGCGGCATCCTAAGTGACCCAACGTTGGTTTCAGTTTCGTTTTATAGCCTAAATGAATTCGTTTATGTCGCTATAGCTTCTTATATTTTTCATTCTTGTTCTTTTCTAAATACTGTTAATTGAAAGGTTTTGTTGTGGAGTGAGGGGAACTAAAATAGCCTAGCTATGTTTACAGCGTTTATTATAATGTTTGTAAACATTTCGCTTCGGCATTAAGCCTATTTCTGAATGAAATAGTAAATGCGACTTATGTTTCCCCCCCCCTAAAAAACAATTATTTTTTTAATACGCGTAGCGTATTTTAACCATGCAGCAAACCTTTTTAAATATTTTGATAAATTACTGAAAAAATAAATAATTAAATGACTTTTTAAATCGTTTAACTGATTGTATTAATCGGTCAAAATTCTTACGGTCGGTTAACTAAACGGTTAAAATGAACATCCCTAAAACCTAACTTGCTTCAGTCCAGTAAATCAATATAAAACTAACAATATAAAGTTATTCTTACATTTACTTTCTAAAAATCTGTAAAGCTTTCACAGCAAAAAGACACAACCTGAAGGGGGACATTTTTATAAGTATACTAAATGGACTTTTACTTGCTAAAAAGTACAAACTATCCATCACATGACAGAAGGCATGGAGGAGATTGTGTACAACAAATCATTAGCAAATCATGTTGATAATTTAGAGGTCTTTTTTTTCATTTCAAATATGATACAGTAGACTTATAGGGTTTAGAATAGGTCACCCAAAAAAACCCATGGTCAACCAGAAATCTGATTACACGGACTGTGTTCTGGCAACTTGCCTTTACAGAGGTTAAATAACATTTAAATCTTTCACTCACTGTTCTCTCCTCTCCAACTCGTGCTCTGAGATGCTGAGCTGCTGCCTCAGTGTGGCGATCACCATAACAGCGGCGTCTACCTGTCGGCTGAGCGCCCGCTCTCGCTCCAGCACTTCCTGTTTCTCCTGGGCCAGGTGATGCCAGTGAGCGCGCTCACACAGGATAGCCGTGTCTGTCTGTGCCAGCTCTGAGCTCAGCCGCAGCAGACGTCGCTCCATGCTGCTATTGGCTGTCCTCATCATCCCCTCCAGCCTCTTCTCCACTGACGCCACAGGAGCCGAGAGGGGTCCGGCTCCGGCCGGCGCATCCCCAATGCTGAGGCTCCTCTCTGGGGGCGTGAGCTTTTGCTCTGCGGGCTGCTGCAATGGAGTTTGGTCAGTGCCGAATAAGTGCTTGTGCTCTCCTCTCGCAGTGGAGTTAGTATTCGTGCCGGCATCATGTACTTTATGCATGTCAAAATTGGAGGGTCTGCAACTTTCCATGCGCTCCGTGTTAGAGAGATCCCTTGTGGATAGGAGGCTGATGTCATGTTTAGTGTGGAACGGGTGGCTGTATTCAAGGTGAGCTCTGAGAGAAGAAAGACTGTGGAATCGTTCATGCTCTCCACATCGAGGGCAGCGGAAAGGAAGTTGAGGAGGGGCTCCGGCTCCACACGCCTGCCCGTTCTTCACAAACAGCACTGTGTTGCGTGTGCACACTTTCTGCTGCATGACACAGATAACCTAACAACAAAAATATTACATATTTAGCATCCCAGTTCTTGGATATAAAAATACCGTATCGCAGAGATACCCAAACCAGGGCATGTGGGCCAAAGTTGATGACCTTTGGTTTTCCCCCACCATAACACAAGAGGGGGAAAACATGTCATTTAAGCATATCTTCATCATTTATCTTTTTGCTTTACCTTTTTTCATTTTTGCTTTGAAATATAGAGAATATAAAGGGATTTGACTTTTAAAAAACAACTATTTTAATGTAATAAAGTTGTAATAATCCAATAATAAAAATTTAATAATGCAACATTTATGTTTGGCCCTCAATCAAGCTTTGTAGTAAAAAATTTGGGCACCTCTGCAACCATAAACAGGAATCTACATTAGCAAACAAATATATCATGCAAGCTGAATAATTAATCTATTTTTGGTCATTTTAGTGATTTGGTGCATTTCAGTGCTGATAAAGTGTCTGCTTGACTGATTCCGAGTCAATGCATATTGTTTACATAATGCAAATATTTGTAGTGATTTTTGAATAATATATAAAAACTTATCTTGTCAATCCACATTATTTGCATATAATACAAATAATTGTAATGATTTTTGAGTAATATTTTTTAATTATCTTGTCAATTCATATTATTTGCGTATAATGCAAATATTTGTAATGATTTTGAGTACAATGTAAAAGATGTTTTGTCAATGCACATTATTTTCATATAATGCAAATATTTATTGCAATTTTTGAGTAGTATGTTAAAAATTGTCCTGTCAAGGTACATCTTGCATAAAATGCCAAATATTTGTAATGATTTTTGAGAAATATGTAAAGGTTTTTTTTCTCAATGCACATTATTTGCATATAATGCCAACATTCTTTGTGATTTTTGAGTAATATTGGGAAAAAAAAGTTTTTAACATTAAAAAATTTATGTGAAACTTTTTATTTTTCATTAATGCCAGGATGGGTGAAGCTGTCACCAACTGGTCAAGAGTTGGTTAGCAAAGAGCTGTTAGCCTCTGCAGGTAAAATCAAAAAAGAAGAAGAATTTTGAACAGTAGCTTTCAATTTATAAGTAAAAGATTTAAGACCTGTGTTCAGTATTAATTAAAGAGACGTTTATGTGTTTCTCACCTTTCACATTTTGTCATTTTTCACGTTTTTCCTAGGCAAAACTGGTGGAAATGCTCAAGCGATTTTTGTAGCACATTCTTTAGTGTATGTGCTTATCAACCCTCTACATTGCGAGTAAATCACTCGCATATGCGACTAAATCTTACTCTGGGCGACTAAATAATGTCTAACATTAGCCATTGGCTAATAAATTCTTAGATTTTACACGTATGTGTGTGAGAGGCGTTCAACACAGATTTTCACTCGATAAACACGCTGACTGAGCGCTTGAGAGTTTCACTCTCCGTCAAACGATCTGTACTATTTGGATGCTGTGTGTAAAATAGTATATCAGTCTGGCAAGTAAACAAAAAAATTTACTAGCCAATGGCGATTATATTGCCAAGGTGTGCGTAAAGGGTTGCTTATACAGAAATTGATTTAAAATTAACCTAAGCTGGTAAATATTTAATGGAGTAAATGTGTGACAGTTTGCCCCGGACAGTATCAATATTATATCGGCCACCCTAGATATCGGCATGGCCATTGAAAAACCCATATCGGTCGACAACCTCGCTGTCTAACTGGCTATTTTAATCTAGCAAGCTTTTCACAAGGCCTAACACAGACACAATGTATGAATGTATATTAACTTACTGAAATACAAAAAAGAGAGCATGCTGATGGTGACAGAAAACTGACAACAACACTTAAGACTTAAAGGCACAATATGTAATTTTCGCCGCTATAGGGCGCATATTCAAAATAAACAAAGAGGCAAAGGCGTTGTTTGATGACGCCGTGACTATGGGCCCTATTTTAACGATCTAAGCACATGGTCTAAAGCGCACAGCGCAGGTGCACTCAGGGCGTGTCTGAATCCACTTTTGCTAGTTTAACGACGGGAAAACGGTCGGCGCGCCCGGGCTCATGATCTAAACGGGTTGTCCCTATTCTCTTAATGAGTAATGGGTGTTTTTTGGGCTTAAAGGGATAGTTCACCCAAAAATGAAAATTTGAGGTTTATCTGCTTACACACACACACACGTTTACTTAGCTATCTAAATGGGGACATTACATAGACTTCTATTGTTTTTATATACAGATAGTTATACACTTTTTAACCTAAACCCACCCCTACCCCTCACAGAAAACTTTCTGCATTTTTACCATTTCAAAAGTTAAAAAAAACTTTGTTTACTTTATTTTTATAACAGTTTTACAAATGAGGAAATCCACAAATTGAGTTTTTTGCCGATTTTGTCAGGTTTTGCTCACTTTTGGGTACAAATCTGTCCCCAAAATATGGTTAAGTAGGTACACACACACACGAGGCCCTGCCCGCGTCTGAACTATGACGTGAAAATCGTCCCGAAGCCCAGCCCGAGGGGCGTAAAAAAGTCGGGGCCCGTCGGACCCGGGCTAAAATGCAGGGCTCTAGCTCTGATCTAGCACACAGAAAACGATTTGACTGAAAATTTATCAGAAGAGACGAAAGAAAGATAGTGGTCATCTAATCAATTCGGAAAAAGAGGCGGCTTTTCTGCATTAGGTATGTTTTATTTTATTTTATTTTTTTTACACTTTGTACAGCAGTTATTGTTCATTCTAAATTTATTTTTTAATGTGTAGAATATGTGTTACATAAATACATGAAATGTAGAACATATAAAAA